CGTGTCTGACCTCAAGGGTATGTGGTTTCGCGCTATATGCACGTTCGATGGTGTTGAATGTTAATTTAGAGATCCAATAGAGAGTCGTTTAAAATAGAGAGATAAATAATACTAAAGCAACTTACTATTTCGGAAAATAATATTCATTATGGATAAGGTTGTAAAAATATTTGTCAACAATTCTCTCATTTCATTCTACTACTATAAAAGTGCCTTACGATATTATAATAATAATAGTAATAATAATAATAATAATAATAATAATAATAATAATAATAATAATAATAATAATAATAATAATAATAATAATAATAATAATAATAATAATAATAATAATAATAATAATAATAATAATAATAATAATAATAATAATAATAATAATAATAATAATAATAATAATAATAATAATAATAATAATAATAATAATAATAATAATAATAATAATAATAATAATAATAATAACAACAACAATAACAACAATAATAACAATAATAATAATAACAACAACAAAAACAATAACAATAATAATAATAATAATAGTATTGATAATAATTCATTCTTGAAAAAATGCTGTATAAAATTCTCTTAACGTTATTAAATTTCTGGACAAGTTAGCAATGAATAATAAAATTACGCATTCATTTTTTATGCCATCGCACATTAATATTACGAAAGTATGCTATTTTAATAATAATCATCGTTCAAGGAGTCCAATAAATTGTATAATTCATATTATACCGAAGCGCTGGATGCACCGTGACAATAAGGGATTTATCGATAAAAACAACATCTCTATCCTCGTTTCATCGTCTTACAAAGATCGTGCGGATTCGGGAGTGGCAATGGAAGCCGCGAATAAGAGCAAAAGATTCGCGAGAAGCCTACCTGGAAGGTAAAAAGAGGTTTGGTTCCGGCAAAAAGATTTGGGCCCAATATGGAGCGACTTTGTGCCTCACGCATACGCCAACACACAAATGTTTATGGAATTGAAAACGGACCACAAGCGTATTATCGATTATTTATAATTACGAACTTTTTTTTTTTACTCGCGATATGATATTTGATGGAATAGAGGGCAATTACGCGCTCGAGTCGAACACGCATGCGCTCCGAGGAAAAACACGTTGAAGAAAAAAATTTCGAAACTAGAATAAAATTCATCGTGGGCATTATTGAGCTACGCGCGCTCCCCATATCGGTTAATTAGTTCTTGTCTTGACGACGACGATGCGCTTCATAATGTTCATACATGGTCAAGCCGATACTTATTAAAGCTTAAATGGTTTACAAGAGCCGACTTAAATGAAAGTAAAAACCTAGATGGCGATAGGTTTCTTCATGACTGGCAAGAGAAATATATTAAGCCGAAGTTTATCAAGCGAATGTAACTATTATTAATAGCCGATTGTATTCTATTTGTCGTTTATAAAATTTTTTATAATGGCTAGTGAACGCGAGGATAATCATCCGTCCGAACTTTACTTACAAATAGGCGCGCAAAAAAAAAAAAAAAAAATGCAAAAAAAAAAGAAAAAAAATTTAAATCGCACAATGACGAATTTACAAGCCGATAACAGCTTGTACGTTTGCAGAAAGTATTATAAAATTATCAATAATTTCGAAAAAAACTTAACAATATCATTAAACGCAATTATTCTTCGACTCGTGAAGATCAATAGATTTCTGAATCGTCAGAATTCTTAACGATTATATCCTTTATAAGGCCAACATTATCAAGTCATAAGGACCTATCGCACATCCAACTTTACTGATTATCCGAACATAGCTTTAGATGCTCCTTCGTACCTTGTTTTTACTTAAAAATTCTCAACATTCGGTTAATAAAAACCATCGAAAGTGTGTCATTTTATGGAAAAGGTATGCACGTATTTGATCAATAATTACGATGTAATACCGCGCGCCCCATAAATCTGTATATTGTCGAGAGTGAATTTATACATATCGCGAGGAACGTCTGGAAATAAGTGAGCCACTATGAAGAATTCGGCACTTGGAACTGAAATATCACGTGGAATAAATTACGACAGGTGCCACGCGCGTAAAAAGCACGAAGCTCTTCCGTCGCAAAAAGGCAAAAAAATGAAAGAAAAAAAAAAGAACAATAAAAAAAAAAAAAAAACAAAAACAAAAAATGACGGAAAAGAGTCGCACGCGCTCGCATCCGTGCGAATTCAGTTATATCGATGCGGCCCAGCCATGGAATTCCGTAAAATAGCATGGAATTTTCGAAGGGCTGGGATCATGCGCAAAGTATGTCTCTGTTGGCTGGCCACAAAGAAAAATCTCGTCGCGGCTCTTTGCTTGGTGGCGAAAGGGAAGTTTTTTAGGTTGGCCACTGGAATGTTGATGGCCCGTCATCGTCGTTGCCGCCGTCGGCTTTTGGCGCATAAGATAGATAGATAGAGAGAGAGCAGAGAGAGAGAGAGAGAGGAGAGATAGAGAGAGAGAGAGAGAGTGAATCGAGGCACCGAGACACTGCAGACATTCTTCGTGTAAACGTGCGCGATCGATCGCACGACCTGGAAAGACTTTTTGAGATTGCGCGACTCTTTTTAAAAGTTATTTGAAGCAAATTTTAGGTCGCGACCAAAGAAAGTCGACCCATAATCCAAGCTTTTGTCCACTGACTCGAGACTTGCACTGCAGCCAACCCTTTCACCTCGTTTCAATTTAGAACTATTTGCATTTCAAGACTATAAATAGATTTTTTATCATTGCTGACTTGGGCTCGTTATATTTGAATGGATGTGCAAATTTATATATCACCCCCCCCCCCATATATATATATATATATATATATATATATATATATATATGCGCTAGCTCGATACAACCGTCATCTGTTCTACCGATGTTCCGCAGCTAAAAAAAATTAATAATTCCGAGTATTATGAGAACGTCAAAATACACAGGGATAAAAAGGGCGGAGGGAAGTAAAATAAAGAAATTAAAATAAAAAATAAAAAAAATACTTATTATTATGATAAACATCGTGAAATATACCGAATAATTTTAAATTCACAATTTTCTCACGACGTTTACTCATATTTTGTATCAATGGCTAATGCTTTTTATAGTGAGAGAGCAGGGGGAGGGGCAGCCGTGACTCATTATTTGAAACTTTATACAATTTTTTCTTCATCGTTATATATATATATATATATATATATATATATATATATATATATATATATCGGTAGATTGAACGAAAAAGTAACGACATAAAAGTCTATAACCAATAACTCTTTGCAACCCATCATATATTTAATATTAATCTCTTCGAAATCGTATATTAATTTTTATGTTTACCTCGTTTGTTTATTGCGTATTATAATTATAAAAAGTATTACTTACCATTAGAGTACAAAAGCTGAAGACGATACTGTATTCCATTGTTGGTTTTCTGACCTTCCGACTCCTGCAACAAACCGAATAACATATCGTTACCACATAAAGAAGCCGCATTGATTTCGTTGGTGAGACATAACTTTTCGCATCGTTCAAGCCAATCCCAATCGCCATGAAATTTGTCCGACCAAACAAGGCGCACAATAATAATGACGAGCTTTGCTATTTCAAAGCATCACAAGGACGACATTTCTCCTCGCTACGTTGCTCTAGTATAAGCGCATTTCCTCTAATTGCAACAAAGAAATAAAGAAATACGTACGAGCGAGAGGTAAAAGATCGGAAAAATCTATTCGGCAACCGCAGAATAAACAAACTCAACCGCTTAACCATAAGAAATGCAATGACTACTACATCTCGAGTCTAATTAATTAACCGTTATACATTATCGCCCCATACGGATACCCTCGAATGCGGTCGAAGCCTCGCTCCTCCACGGCAAATCGCGCTCGTAAAATGGGATTATTTACGCGCTTATCACAACGTACAATGATTCCCTCCTTGATTAATTAGACAGGCGCGTGCACGCGCACTATGACCGCACATACAACCGAGCCACACTACCTACCGCCGCTAATTATTAATTTCTTGATGCGCGCACCGTCGGACGCATCGCGTGCATAATTATGTATCCTGACGAGTCATGCGTGATGTGTGCATCGTCTACGCCATATGACTCCAAGCACGCCCCCGCTCTCGCTCGTAATGCATTTCCAAATCGAGAGTTTCGCCGCTTGACTTTGCTCTGCGTGTCTAATGCATATTGCCCAGCTCGACTCGTCAATGACGAAACACTCCAACCCGAAAGCGGCGTTGGAACGAAAATATTCAGCGACTGATCGATATTCCTTTCCGCGCATAGGCAGACGGACGAGATAGATTATTAGATAGTTAGATAGATAGATACAGATAGATAGAGATAGATACATAGTGCGTGTGCGTGTGCGCGTGTTGGAATCAAGAATTTTCTATTCGCTGAAAGATTGATTTTTTTTTTTCGTGAAGAATTCAGCATCTCAATGCAGTAAAAATACTAACCCTGTCTATTTGAAAGAAACCAAGTAAAACTAACCATACTTTACTTTTTAAACATATAAAAGTACTTACTCAACATTAAAAATACATGATATATAAGAGTAAATTATTCAACATTATTATGGTGCATCCAATTATCAAATATTTGTCCGATGGAATTCGTTAATCGTACTTTATATTATGCCTTTTTACAGCTGTAAACTTTTTTAAATATGTACATTGATTTTGGATGTAAAATCAATAATATTTTTATAAAATACATTAATAAGACCATTAATAGTATCTCCGTGAATTCCCGATTTAAGTAGCTCGTGTGCATATCTTTGGAGAAAATTTCAAACGAGAGGGCACAGTAATAAATGAAAAGTCCAATAGCAAATATAAAAACTTTGCTGAAATTTACGCTTGACTTAACAAAACAAATCATGATCCTACCTAATATTTAATATACTCTGAAGAGAAGATTAAAAGAGAAAAATTTTCAAAATGCGTAATTTCACATTTATCAGTTCAATAAGTAGCTGAAGCGAACGAAAAGGGGCAACAGGTACATAAGTTTTGAATTAAGCGAAGCCGAATATAAGTATGCATGTGGAGGAGAGTTGAGAAGAAAGAGAAATAAAGCACACACAATAAATTCAGGCATATATATATATATATATATATATATATATATATATATAATGCGTACGCGCGCGCCCTTGCCGAGGAAGTTTCACAGCGCTTAGTAGGCGAATGAGTTTATGCTCGCGATAAGCGACTGTTTTATCCCTGTGCATAAATTTTTGGCGCGGAAAGCTATTTATGCACGTGTACGAGGGCTAGGTTCTCGATTCTTACCTTAAATAATTAAATGATGTGAAAATATGTAAATGCTGTTTTACTTCGCTCCTCTTTCCACACCCCGCGCTGGACGATCCGCGAAAGGTTATGACGAAACTAGTACCCTTAACATTCAAATATACTTTAGGCGCTGCGCTAATTTACCAATCCCGGGCAACAAAAGTTTAATTATTCAGTAACATATAACCGAGACGTCGGTTATATTACAACTCCATTGAATTATAGAAATATCTACGTTACACAAGCAATAAGGCAATCATTTTTCATTCATAAAGAATATTAATTAATAACATAATTATTAATCTTATGGGGATGAAATTCTCTAGCTTAATGTGACAAAAGGAGCATTTGAAAATTTAGCAGATTCGGCAATAAGGAAGTGGTGGATTAAAAAATTTATTCTCAAAATTGAATACAACTATTGGCATTTTCAATAAATTCAATGAAAATTCATTAGCCTAATTAATGTCCACTGTTGACAATGAGAATTATTTAACAGAATTAATATCTTCATCCACAATCTGTGGCTCGAACGAAGATGGCAAAGAGAATCTTAATTGAAATTTTAACAGTGCAATGAGAAACAGTCAAGTACAACAAAGCTATTTTTCATAAATATTGAAATCTAAAGGTATGTTAACATTCTTAAGAATTTATTATAATTGCAGTCATCTAGGAATCCGGCTCGGGACAACGATTTCAATATTAGTTCCTTCGGGTATGATGATTATGAGAAAGGCCGTAACGATAAATCATAACAAGCCATTTCGCTTAAATAATCGAATATGCTTGAGCGACATTACGAGTCTCGCGTCCTTCCCGCGGACCTTTCACACGAAGATAGTTAACGTGAATGTCAGGCCGGATGTTCCTCCCTCGTTGGTCTGGCGGGTGCGCGGGACGAGTGGGAGGGAGGAGGGTTCGAGAGAGCATAGCACGGAGGGAGGTGATGTATATCCGTGGTGCATGACCCTAATTAATAGGGAGGCTACGCGCAATGCAACTGTCCGCCGTGGTGTAAATTATACGCGGCCAGGAGTGAGAGACGGAGAGAGAGAGAGAGAGAGAGAGACGAGCTTGATTATGGAGGATCACTGACTACACCAATATTTCGTAAACATCGACACGTGGTTGTTGTTGCTAATTGTTCGTAAATTTTTTTATGCTTAACGAGCAGTGTATGGTGGAACGCTACGAGTCGTATGTTGCCGTATGTTAAATTTCATCAAATTACGCAACACTTTGGCGTGTTTGGCGGATCAAGACCGTTAGTTTAGTTTTAATTGTTGTTTAATATTGATGAAACGGAGATTAGTTTTTTTTTTTTTTAATGGCGTCATGATGATGTATCGTAAGAAAATATTGTCTTGATAATTAATCGAGTTCGATTATTGTTTGTGAAAAATGATGGGCATAAGGATGTCAGTTTGGCTCGAAATAAATGAGAAAATAATAGTAAAAGTTTTTACTTTTAAAAATCTGTCGATTAAAACGAATTGTTATTATAAAGTATCGATGTGTTATGCCACGCCGAACCTTTTACATCTCTCTCTCTCTCTCTCTCTCTCTCTCTCTCTCTCTCTCAATATATGTATTAATATATAAATATTATGACTAGGTTATAATAATATTTCGTTTTATCAAATATTTCGTTTTATCTGGTGTACGTCCAATTACTTTAATTTGATCAATTATTACAATGAAAAAATCATGAATAAGTATGTAAACCTTTTCATTAATAATCTAATGTTTGGTAGTCTTACGTAATATCGTATCACGCACAATGAAATTTAAGCATTTTAGTGAAACTTATTTTAACGACTGATTGCATGCACGATACACTTCGAGTGATTGATATAAAAAATCGATCGAGTCACGTAAGACCGACGTGTACTTCAACTTCCAATTAACTATATTATTTTTAGAAATATGTTACATCCAGGAGAGCTCCGACTGGCGCACGTTTTTATTTAAGCAACCGAATCAAATCACTTCCGACTATTATACAATATTACAATAATGTTCCGTCCTTTCCTCCATAAATTCCCTTAATCGAGAAAATGCTATTAGAATGTTGAAATTGTTACTCACCTGATCCTTCTCGACGAAGCCAATGAAAGCCGTTCTCTCGATTTCTATCGGTTGGCCCGATCGATCGTAGAGAGCGATAACAAAGTGAAAGAAGTTACTTTTTCTTAAATTACTGGGTGGCTGTTTCTCGAAATGTGCCCTCCCGACCACAGCTCTGTAATAAATAAATGTAAAATATACGTTAGCCGAGGGAATAAAGTAATTAATAATGCACAGGCGATAAAAATAAATATTTATTAAAATTCCTAATTGATTAACATTGGACGCAATGTAGAGGAAAAGCAGGTAAAATGGAGAAGAATTTGCTGTAAGAAAGGATATCTAATTCTTGGTCAAAGTTTTTGAAACAAAGATAGTCATATTTATTTAGGATTTGTATCCTCGTTAAAAATGATCTATTCGCATCTAGATAATTATCCTGTAAATACGAATATGGCTTCGTAAAGCTAATTGTGTGTCACTTTTTAAAGGATTAGTATTCAAGCTCAGAAAAAAAAAAGTTGAATGACACATTAATTTCTAAAGCTATGTAATTTCTTATTTTCATCGTCGTATTAATCTATCATTACACATAATGTCGAATTAATAAATAAGCAAATGTCTTTTAGCTTTAGCTAAAATTTTTCATCAAATAATTCGATTGTAACTTACTTCGATATTCTAGCGGATTAAGTACAAAATTCTCTTTCAATTTTGTCGTAACGTTAATTTGCTTTTTTTCGTTTGCTTTAAATGTATATTTTTAACAAAGTTCTATTAGTTATAGCTTGTATGATAGAGCTTTACTCGGCCATTTAATTTACTTTACGGAATGCCTCAGACTAATTTTTCAAGTTTGCATAAAAAAAAAAATGCGAAGCCTCAACCGTACAATCGAAATCAATATTTCCATTCGGAAATCGAGTGCTGCTTATTGCAGATATCAGGGGCAATGATAACCGAGCCCGATCAATTGAAAAATAAATTCCAACGAAAATCCACTGACTCCCCACCAAAACTTCATTTTCCGATCTAATCTATAATAGATCATACGTACGTATAGACGAGTTAAAAGTAATTTGCCTATCGTTTAAAGAAATCCGGGATATTCGATGTTTGAATCTTGAGTTTACCAACGACTAGATCAGCCGTGCGGAAAAGATAAAAGCCGGGGTTAGGCGACGGGCGCAGGTGGTTCCTACGCCTTAAAATTCCATTAGAGTCTCATGTGCTGAGATTAGGCGTCCGATGCCGCTGGACTTTCGCTTCGACGCCATCTTTGAGTAATGGTCATGGAAAGTCCCCCCTTCGAATTGCCTTTTAGCATGGATGCTCGTTGAATGCGCGAGCGCTGGTGCGTATCGCGCTTATCCTTTATAAAGATTCGACCGTCTCCTCGGAGATTATTTCTTCTTTTCTTTTGCTTCTATTTGGCTGTATAGAATAAGCATCGATCGAGCAATTACGAAGTTTGAGGGATAATTAAAGTATAGAAAATTTCATACACAATGACATTAATTTTTAACGAATAAATGTAAAAATTTATTGATTTGAGCAATCATATTTATCTATAAAGCTAATTTATATTGTTCGACCTCGCGTCATTTATCACTACTTTACACATTGTATTAACATTTTTTTTTTTTTTATTACGAATTATAATCATCAATTATTATTAATAATAGATTAGTAGATTAGTTTGTAAATGTCTCATTTTCTTTCTGCAATTACGATATAATAGTGAGATTATATGTTGATGAACTCCCAATCTATCAGGGTGGTTAGTACGGTATTTTTAAATGTTTTCGCATACGATAAAATATTGTTTTATTACATGTAAATTTGTTGTGAGAAAAAAAGACAGGGAACTCGACATCAAGTCGTATAAATCAAATATGAACGTCTAGTTTGCAAAGTAGCTAAACTACATTCGTATTATTCTATTACTGCAATCCGAACTTTAGGCGAACAAAGTATGTTCAAAACAATGGCATAACACATACAATAAACTTTTAGTCGTTCATAAATTACGATAATGACGTCGTATAAACGTTTATTTGCTTTTTTATAAATTCATATACATCGTGGTAATAAAATCCAGATACAAAACATTGAAGTAGGATGGCCGAATTTGAGATGGTATTAGTTCGGAGAATAAAGTTGAAAAAGGAAGAATCCATGGCACTGGGTTTAGGGCGGAAAATACCCGGAATAGCGTGTACGCGCATTGGTAAAATGGCTTCGCCGGAATTCGAGAAAAGCCCGAGAACATTGCCGGAAATCTCCAGAGGCCTGCCATCACTCATCTTCGAATCTACGGCGAGTCGTACAGTTTCCGCGCCTCTTCTCCGACACGGACACGTGAGCGAACGCATCGTAACGGAGCCGTGGTAACTGGGAAACAATTTGGTAACAATTTTTCAAAGTGTCAAAATAGTACGGCCCACCGAATCCCTCAAGGCTTTCCCAATGGTTTCGCGGTCTTACGACTTTTCCTCCCTCCTCCGGCCCTCTTTTTTTATTCTTGAAAAGTCATGGGTTAGTTTGAGGAGCCCTGAAAGCTACATCCTTTCTCTTATTTGATGAGTATTTTCTCAGAATATCGGCTTTTCATAATTACAGCAATTGTCGTTGGGGGTGGAACGATGACACAAACTTACTTTACACTCAACTTATTTCTTTTTAATGCTGGCAATTCATTTTTATTCTTTTATTCCGCTGTAATATTTATCATTGTGACAAAGTTTTTTTTACACCACAGTTAACCATTAATTTTATTTATTTATTTGTCGTGTATGCGTGTGTATGAATACCAAAAAAAAAAAAAAAAAAAAAAAAAAAAAAAAAAATTATATAGATTTAAAAATAATTTTATAAAAATTGAAATATTCATATTTTAAAAGAACGATAATCTCCGATAAAAGATTGTAATTTTGAAATAAATATGATACATAATGTATGGAAATTATGTAAAACATTTTAAAAATTTAATTTAAAAATGGATTTTAAGGTAAAACATATCGAATGTGCCCAAGTGCAAAAAACATTCAATTCACATAATATTAATTAGAAAGCTCTAACAAATTTTTTTTCCCGCAGTTACATATTTTTATTACATCTGAATAATAATCGTTTTTTTTACCCATAATTGTAACATTAATCGATTAAAAATAAAGGAATTAAATAATTAAAGAACAATTTTGAAATTGACATTTGGTAAATAGATGATGCGAATTTATCAATGTTTTTAACGTGAACGTCATTTGGTACGTGCATTATTACGTATAATTTCCATAATTTTACAAATAAACGCCATTAATATCGATGAAACGTTAAATAAATAATTCAATAGTTCAATGATGATAAATAAAACTTTCCATAAAAATCAGTACTTCCGTTTGGAAAATATTTAAGATTTCGATAAAACGAATGTTTTCCAACTATCTGCATTATTTGATTACGAATATTAATATAAGGATAAAACCGAAAGAGCAAATACAAAAATGAAACTAAATAAAAGCATCCGACGAAATCTCTATAAATCTCAAGCGGACACGTAGAAAAAGCCACAAATAAAAAGGAAAATATCTATCTATCTCTATACGTCATATAATTTTCAGGTCAAATCACAGTGTACAAAGCAATAAAATAAAGGACATAAACGGACTTGCCGAGCATTCTGAATCACTCGTTTATTTACGCTAAAAACGATTGCGTCGAGCAATTGCTCGCGTGAGATGCTTGAGCGCGATTTCACGCTGAAAATCGGATTATCAGCGCGCCTCCGGGTAGGATGAAATAAAAACAAAAAAAAAACAAAAAAACAAAAAAAAAAAAAAAAAGAAAAAACCAACAAAAAACAAAAAGAACAAAAATAAATAAATAAATAAATAAATAAATGGAAAAATAAGAGGAACCGAAACGGGAGGCGTCGCGAAAATGAATAGCGGCAGTTTTGCGACGCATTTGCGAAATAAACGATGCTATCGGCGCTGCGTTTGTCACGCTTCGGAATATACGGAGTGCGAGTAAAGCTTCCTCGTAAATGGATACGTACATCGATTAATGCGACGTCGATATGTTTCTCTTAGCGGTGATCAATTTGCCTATGGCATGTAGAGATTGGATTTTTTTTATTCGCCGAATTGATAAATTGTAGCTTTTATTTCTGCTTTTTCTTTCTCGTTTGTTATAATTACTTGAGGCGAGGTCGCTCGCGATAAATCTATTTAGTTGGCATCGGTAAACAGTCTCGTAGTCATCGAATTGATAATTTGTGTTTTTTCATGATTCGTAAAGTAGAAATAATACATTGTAGAATAGTAGCGCAATACTGAGAATGTGCAGAATCGTTAAAAAGTGAAATGTTTATATTTATTAAAAATTTAGCCTTGGAATGAACGGATAAAGGTCGATTAACATTATTATTCTAATCACAGTTATTTGCAATTTACAGGCAGTGACCAAATGTTCGTTTCGAACGACAGATAAACAAAGAAACAGTCATCCCGCCAATAGTTTGTCATAGTTTGTCATTAATAATCGGCCCTTCTTCGTTGAATAATAGAAATAAAATAATGCAACATTTGTATTATATTGTTTGTGTTTTTGGACTGATTCTCTACCGTAAAATTTGCATTGTTCTTTTCAACAACAGACTTTTTACGATAAAGCATGCAGACAATATATAGGGACAACCCTCGTTCGCCCGTTCTAATCGATTAATCGAAGTGCCTCGCCGTCGAAAGTTTTAAAACATCGTTCAACCCTATTGGCATTGGAACCTGCCTATGGAGTAAAAATAAAAGATAAATTCTACGAAGAAATTTCTAATCTTGGAACGACGATTAGAAAGATTAACTTTATTTTATATTTCATTAATATCTTACTACTTGCAACGTAAATACGCATTTCACATAGGAAGTTTGAATAATCATAAGAGATGGCCCAATGGAATGAGCGATTAATTACAATTGTTGAACAACCGACTGATTTCTTATCGGAGTGAATGAATCTTCTTACCTTATGCCCTTGTTTAATTCTTTGAAAATAACAACAACCGTACATTTTGACGCAATAATATTTTATTGCCGAGAGTATAATAATTTAATAGAGATAAAGCTGAAGCAGAAAGCTTGATAAATAATCACGTTACATTAAGTTGTTACCCTCTCA